GAAATAAAAAAAAAAAGACAAATTAACCTCTGTGCAAAAACATGGCTTTGATTTTTAAGTTCAACAGTAGAAAAAATTCTCATTAAATATACTTGATTTTTAAATTCTATGTATAAAATGTCTCTTGAAAAACAGCTTTAGTTTGACATACCAAACCAAAACTATGGTACAAATGTGTTTCTATACTTTTATGTTATTCCTTAGGGTAAATGTGACTGTGTGTCTATCTCTTATAGTTCAGTATCTACTGAAATACCATGTCTAAGATTTATTGAAAGAACATCAAAAATGCCCAATTTGTTTCTTCAGGGAAAATACCCAAAGATTTCCTCATATTTTTCTTAATGATAATTTTCAGTTATTTACTTTTTTCACCTTGTTTCTCATGTTTATATGAGTTCTTGGATTGATTACTTTTATTCTTATTCTATTTGATTGTGCAACCTCTCTACTTTTATTAAAATGTGATATTTGAAAATCAGTGGGAGCAGTTCCATTAAAATGGTCAATCACTAGAAAACATTCAGAGAACAGAAGAAAAGCTATTTTGGGAAAAAAATGAAGATTTTGACTTTTTGATGTCATTTACTGATTTCTGGTTTTTAACCTGAACATAAAGTAAAATTCAGAGTAGAAGTCAGATAATTGAGGAAATAGAAATGAAATTAAAATTACAAAGTTACAAGTCACAAAAAATTGTCTATGAAATAAAGTTGCATTATGCCAAACCATTAAAAGCCTCTAAAGATAACTCCTGTAGGCTATACCAGGTCCATGTTAATTGTTAGGACGAGAGAATTGAAAAGAAAGGATATTCAGAGTTGGAAGAAGAAATATTTACTCCAGGGGGCTGTACCAGTCAGCCTCTGAGTATCCCATCTACAGATGATTTTACTGAAGGAAACCTCACAGGGAATATTTTCTGTATAATATATTGCACTTTACAACTTTTTTTTTTTTAAAGGAATTTGGAACACAACCTCAAGTAAGGATTAGATTTTACGGAATTTGCCTTATGGAACAGGGGTTAGTTTAAATTTTCAAGCTGGAGATGTAAAAATTGCTTTTTTTTTGTTATTTGAAGAAGCAGTTCAGTATGCTGGAGCTGTTCCTTAGAGAAGAGAAAGAGACAAGTGCAGACTCCTGGCCAGAGCCCAACTGCCTGTTAGAGTTCCAGAGCTTGTCCTGATTCATTTCTATTTGTTCTTCTCTCACTTGTTCATTCATATCCTTTCCACTGAATCATGAAACAAGAAACTGTGAAATCTTTGGTTCAGTGTATTTTGGTATACTTCTGGATCTCTTGGCATTCTGTGATTGAATGCAGTTGAAAGTGTTTTTAATACCGTGTTTCCTCAGAGATTTTTTCTAATGCATGCAGTAGTAGGTGGCAGTTTTTTTTGTGTCTAGAAACACTGATTTGAAACGCTATCACTGACATTATCAACATTTTTTCCAAAATTATAACACTGTAAAGGAATGAATAAACAAAGATTTCTACATACGTTTCACAAAGTATTTATAAAAAAGCTTCACAAAATAAGTATTTTAAAATCTATTCCATAAACAAAATTCTGGTCCATTACTGAATAAACAGAGTAGATCAATTTTTGTGGTGCAAACTTATTCTCATTTTTCTGTGACACTATCCACAGGATTCGGTCTGTTGCTAGTTGTGAAGTGGTGATGAGTGGACCTGTGGAACTTTGGGCCTGTCTGAATCTAAAAAAATAATTTCTTGGCATTGTGACAAAAATCTTGAATTTAGCATCTGAAACTGAATACATGTTCTGAACAAGCAAGTACATAGGTTTGATCTCATAAAATACAGAAAAAAAATGTTATTTCATTAGTAACCAGAAAATTAAGAAAAAAAAGTATAAATCTATAGAAAAGACTGAGGAAATATTACACTACTAAGACAGGGTGGAAAATAGGTGAAGGAAGTCTGGATGACTGGTATTTTGAGCCCTAGCTCTAAGAGGTTTCCCAAGTCTGGTCTTATTTTTGTCGGTTGTCACTCTGTAGCACTCTGTAACAAATTCAGAAGTGGCTAAGTACACCTAAATATAAAGGAGACTAAAATAGTGTAACACTGCTTCTGCTTCCTCCAAACACAATACATTTACAGTTGCTTTATACCACTCTACCTTAGAGGTCTGACTCATGGGTTAGAACCTCTAACTTTGACACTTGCGACCTGTGTCTGCCTATCTCTTTGTCACTCCTAAGCAGCGTAATTGCTCCTGCAGCAGTTATTGGTTCAGTGCAATTTGAAGCCCAAATATTAAAGAATCAGTGCTCTTTCACCTGACTACACCAGGCTGTAAACTGCAGCTGTTAGCAGCTGCCTGATAAACAGTCTTGCTTTTCCAGGTGTGGATATCTGTGAGGGGGCAGCAAGGTGAACAGCCAAAGCAAAGATCACTCCTAGCTACTCTTCATCTAACATTAGAAGCTCTCAGCTCAAACGTGCATCCAGTTGGAAACTTATGCCTGTTACCTCTTAGCTTGGCCAGCTGATTTTAAGAAAATATATACATCATGTACACATAATAAAATGCACACAGAAAGTCTGTAATAAGGTAGAAAGTAACAAGTTTGTGGCAATAGGACAGACTGCTCTGTTTACTCCTCTGGTAAGTACTTAGTGCCCAGCGCAGGAAGCCACCTCTTCACCTCTGCATCAATTTAGCTCCCATTTAATGTCCAATATGTGGCTGACAGTGGCTTGCATAGCACTTTGTATTTGTCTGTCAATATTCACTTAGAGCATGTCAGTCCATCCTGATCTGAGGAATTCAAATTTGAGTTGGAAACATTTTTCCAGGTTTGAGTTTAGATTTGTGTTACTGTGAAGTCAAAACCTGTTGTATTTTATCTGCTCCAAAGACTTTGAACATCTATCTTTAAGAAAACTTAATTCTAGAGCATAAGAAGTGTCCAAAATCTTTAGACTTTGGGTTTCTTCTCCCTGCTCCCCCCCCCAATGCCTCGCCAAGGGGGACAGCTGTAAGAAATTCCAAGTGCACTGGAAAGGCTCTGGAGGTCCTTTGAGGAGTTCAGAGAATCCCTTGGGTGCTGAATGAAACCATCTCTTTAGAAACTTCTGTATGTTTAATTAGTACTCCTTTCTTTGTTCCTGGTTTGCAATAAAGACTCTTTGTCAGCTTTGGGTTAAACCATTAATGAAAAGGGTGTGTTAATTAAACAGCTTGCTTATTTCTAATTGGCAAAAGTACCCTAGCTCTCCTGAGACTTAGAACGAAGCACAGCAACGTCTGCTAAGAGACACTCGGAGCTGGTAAGAGACGTCATAGAAAATATTAACCCATCCAAGAGAAGCAGCAGTAATGAAAATCTTGTGTGCTGAATGCTTCACAAGAGGCAAAGCATGTGGATATTCATATTCTCAGGAGTCTTCCTGTTTTTTTTCTCTTTTTTTTCTTTTTTTTTCCTTCCCACAGCATGCAATTTACATGACTAGAGTTACAGATAAAACCCATTATTTGGAAGGAAATTGGCAAGATGGTTTGAAATTTTCAATTTTTATTGCAGCGTGTAGAAATAATATTCAGCTCTTCTTTTTGTTGTTTTCGTGATTTTTTTTTTTTTTTTTTATCTTTACATGTTCTGGATGTCATTGAGAGAAAAGGAGAACAGAACGTGTGAAAACAGCTTCTGAGATGGAATGCATTGATTTCACACAGCAAAGTGGCAGCATTGCCTCTTTTGAGCCATTTTTTTTAATTGACATTCACTAATGCATTAATAGGGAGTCCTACTGATAATCCTCTCAGTTTAGGTTATATTACATAGGAGTATGAGCAGTTGTGTTGACGGACTTCCACAAAATTATTCTGTCATATTATTTAATGTCATTATGAAGGAAAATATCATGAGATGCTCTATGTTTTACTTTACATTTTTGGAAAACAAAAAGTGGAGTTAGCTGGTATCTGTGAGAATCAATGCCTATGCTACTGCCTTAAAAATGTAGTTCATGTTAGATGATTTACATGCAATTTTTTAACCTACAAGTGGTTATTACAACTTCAGTACTGAAAACTTTATTCTCTCACATATGTAAATAAGTTGAAGAGTCATATTTATAAAAAGTGTTGAAGAATCACATTTCTACAGCAGTAGTTTGCTGTATACCTAAACATATTGTAACAAATTAATGCAAAACTAAAACTCATAAGAATCCAGTTTGAATTTTAGCTTATCACTTATTTATGGACGCTAAAATCTGTGTTGTACATTTGCCATTTAACTGACAAAATACCTACTTTTCATACGGATTTTTAAGCATTTATTTTATGAATTTAAGTATTTTGTGGACCTTATTGGAAACATACGGTTAGTATCTTTTTCTTCTTTTGAATACAGTAAATTGTTTCTTTATTTTCACTGTTAAAGGTATCACCTTCTTATTGAGAAGAAACTAACCTCTTTTCTATAGTATTTCCTATATATGTAATCCCATATGTAGAAAACTCTTTAAGGACACAAAAGCTAAAATAGCAAACTAGACCTGTCATTAGTATGCTAGGTGGTTAGTTTGATAACTCATGACAACTTTTACTTACATATTTCTTACATGATTTCAGTGTATGCTTTGTCAATATTTTGAATTGATGCCAACCTGTATGTGAGCTAATTGACTATTCAGAATGTGTAATACAGGCTTGCAAAAGACTTTTGGAAGTTTAGGCCATAAGATGTTAAACCACATTATTTAGCTTTTGGCAATATGGTAGGAATTATAGCATCAGTACTTCCATTTAACTATGTAGGACTATTTGTGTGAGCAGAGTGAGAATAATTCAGCAAAAATACTTTAAAATTTTTAGGACCAGACACAACAAGTGCTGTATTTTACTAGAAAATTCACCTCCTGATGAACACGTGCATTGTTTTGTTCTAAACTTTGTTCTAAGCTTTGCAGGGGAGCTGTGTAATGATTCTTTAGAAATGGCAGTGTATAGAGGATAGTGGCTTGGAAAATAGCATGTTTGGTGTCACATAAGAAATGACTGCAATAAATGGTTTAGATAGCACTCGGGGCGGGGGTGGTGGTGGGGAGAGTCTTTTTCCAGAAGACTTGTGTGTCAGTTACAAATTGAAATCTGAACCAAATAGAGAAAATATAAATATTGATCCATGATATTCATATTAATTTTGGGGGTTTTGTGATTACAAACACCATGAAGACAGTATCAGGGAACTTTTCTATTGGTCTAGAAAGTAATCAAGCCTATGTAGGTTTACAAGTTTCTTACTCTGTACAGAAATATTTTTTTTTTGTTCTTTTTGTCTCTGTGCTGGATCTGACAATATTGGTTCAATATTTACAGAAATTGTTAGTGGACTAGTTCTCTTGCAGGCAGCAAACAGTTTTGTGTAACATTCCCTTACTCGGTTCTCTAAGAATTAGTAGAGTATTAAGAGCTCAAATGTTGATTTTTATGTACTGAGCCCTATACGCGGGGGGAGAGTTTTGCCAAGGTCTTGGAGATATACAGGATTCTGGTAAAGGGGGGGAAAAAGTCAAATCAACATAGTTTTGAAATCCAGAGATTAAAGAAAGAGAATATTCTTTATTCTGTCAGCTGCACAGCAGCTCAGGAAGGATTTTTTTAAGAATGCTTTTTGTATTAAACATCCAAGGAATCTCGAATTGGTGAGGATTGGTTGCTTATCCATCTCCACAACGATGGAAGGCAAATGATCATCACTGCGTTTTGTCTTGGATTCTGAAAATATTTTCAAGAATTAGTTGTCAGAAAATACTGATGGTTTTGTCTCATCTGCAGATTCCTGGTGTTGTCAGAAAGGTCAATAACTTTCTCTGAAGTTCTTTGGAGTGTGCTACAGAAGCATTTTCAAAATGCAAGAATTTATCTGGTCTTCCTTTTAGTAGTCCCAATACTTAAATGATCTTGTGAGAAACTAAATGAAGTAATCATTACAAGAGCTTTTTGTACCTAGACTTTGGGATGTTAGTGTTTGATTATACTATAATTTTACATTAGGTTATATTTTTATTTTTCTTATCCTTTCCTGAAAGGAGATCTCAGCAAGGCCTGGGTGGGTGATGATCTGGGTAGGAAAGAGCTGTCAAAAAAAAGAGAAAAGCTTGAAAGCAAGGGGTAGAATTTAGAACAGTGTACACATACAAATGTCCTTGTTCAGAAGAGGATGTCTAAATTACTTTGACCTTTTTGGTTTCATTCCTATGTTTTGACTGAATGAAACTTGAAAAAAGATTTTTTTAGTTACCTAGGACGATTTTCTTCTTAGTAAGAAACTTAAAATTGATTTTAACTTGACACATTTCTTCTCTGAAGTAATATAAAATATTTGTCTAATAAATGTATACAGAGGCTTTGTGGCCCATCAGGGTACTATGACATTCCAGTGTATTGATTCTGCCATGTTAGAGGGTGACATATTTGGTGTTAACGGGCGATCAGAGTATTGGGATTTGAATTGTACACAGTAAGAAGCACTGACTTTCCTGTAACATGACAGGCTTTCTAAAGCACTGGAAGTAACTGTAGTCTTACATAATTCCTCCTATATAAACTTCGAAGATTAATAAGGTTTTTGTATCATCATGCAGATATTTAATAAAATCAGAAAATCTTAGAAAAATTTCAGGAAATAAAAAATAATACTTATTGACCTGTAACAACCAAAACCATTGTGCAGTTTCTCATCTGTAGACATTCTTGACATCCAGAATTCAAAACTGACTGTTGAAAGGAGCATTTTATATTACATTATTCCCCCCTCCCCTGCAAACTGTGATCTATATCCTAGGTAAAGATCTTGACTTTTGTCAGTGTAGTTCATTTCAGCATACAGGGTTTGTTTACATTTTGTGTAATGTCTGTTCTTTTTAATTTATACTGTAGGCTAAAGGTGCTTAAGTGTAAAGCTGTAGCAATTTTGTGTTACCTTATAGGGCATCAAATGCTGACCAAAAGAGCATTGTGGCTAGAGAGGGTTAAAAATTATCATTTTCTGGTTTACTGTTCTTCAGGTGAAGTACTCTTTTTAGTTTCAATGACCTGAAGTGGTTTCTTTGGAAGTTGCATTTTGATTATAATTATTGTGGAGAAAAAATCAGCTAAGTCAAAAAAGTGAGCTAATTCTAGCCATCTTTGGAAACTAATTGTGGGAGTACCAGATTTACGGATTTAAAAGAGACTGTAGAACTCAATTTCCAGATTTTTGCATGTTCTTGCTGTTTTGTGTGCTTGAATACCAGTTGTCTTGTAAAGGAGTATAGAAAGCATTTTATACTATATGTTTGCTCTGTTTTCCAACAACATAAGTATTTTGGTTAAGCAGATTTGCTAGGACGTGACAGCTCTGAAAATTTGGACACAGTAGCTACTGGACGTATTTCAGTTCCAGGTAATAAAAATAGTGCAGAAAGGGGAAAATGAAATATCACCATATTTTAAAGATGACAGTTTTGTCAAAGATTCCTTTTCACTCTTCAACTTAAAACAAATTGAGCAAATCAAGTATATCTAAAATGCCTGCACTCACTGAAGATTTGTCACCTATTTAGTTTCTTTTTATTTTCTTCCCTCCTCTCTTTTTAAAAGCATGAGAACACTGACTTAATAAATGTAAAACACGTTGTGAGGAGCATAATTCTTCTGGTTTAATTGTTTTCTCTAAATAGTTTTGAATCATAATAGGCTTTCATGAAATATAGTTACATAGTGAGAACCTAAGTAAAATCTGGTAAGATGAGACTGAAATGATGTATTACATTCTGCAGAATTAGGTTGTTGCTCAGAAATCAGAGTATTTTGTGCTAAAGTTCATTTCAGTAACACAAATTATATTTTATGAATAAAATCAGGATAATATTTTGGTCAGATCAGGTTTTCTAAACATTTTGTAATACTTGGTTTTAAAATAAATAATGAGATAGCTGTGCCAGATTTTTTGACATGATATCCATGTCTTTAGTAGGGTAGTAATAGCTCCTTGTCACTTATTTACGTGGCTGAAACCCTCTGATGTAAGCCATAGATTTTTTTTTTAGAATATATTTTGTAACCACGTTTCATGTGTGACTGTGTGTCTTTGCTCCAAGACCTGGCCACTGTTATAAAGAATGCAGTTTTCTCCTGCCTGATATCAGCAGACATAGAAGTAGAGAGGGAAATAGAAATTAGGCTGATTTCAGTGACTTTTACTCTACTCCCTCTTAGTTTCATAGGTTCATGCTGCACTTCTATTCATCAAGAATCAGGAACGTGACCTGGCCTTCTTGTTTCAGTCTTCTTGAATGTTAATAAGCATCCACAAAGACATTTTTTGTAAATACTGACCTTAAAAGGAGGAGAGGGGGAAGACTTGATTGAACCTGGCTCTTCGTACTTTGGCAGATGTAATTGCTCATGAAGAGATTCCTGTTCGTCCCCGTAGCAGTGTGGTATATGTCCAGTGTATACTTTTCTCCTGCTTCCTTTTGATGTGGCACCACATCTTGGTGCTAGCGTATGTTCATTTCACATTCAACACAAAAGAGAAAAAATATGTGGAAAGACATTACTGCTGTTTTTAAAATTCTGTTGAGAGTAGACCCAGGTGTGGTACCCACAATCTGTGCAGTTACTGACAAGGAGACGTCAGGGTTCCTTTTGGTGCCATTTTCATAGATTCATAGAATCGCAGAATCATTAAGGTTGGAAAAGACCTCTAAGATCATCAAGTCCAAAGGTTAACCCATCACCACCATGCCTGATAAACCATGTCCTGAAGTGCCATATATATATACATATATGTGTTTTGAACACCTCCAGGGATGGTGACTCCACCACTGCCCTGGGCAGCCTGTTCCAATGCCTGACCACTCTTATTAAAGAATTTTTTCCAAATATCCAATCTAAACCTCCCCTGACTCAACCTGAGGCCATTTCTTCTTGTCCTATCACTAGTTACTTGGGAGAAGAGACCAACACTTGCCTCACTACAACCACCTTTCAGGTAGTTATAGAGAGCAATAAGGTCTCCCCTCAGCCTCCTTCAGACTAAACCGTTCCTCAGAGGGCTGGTTCTTCAGCCCCTTCCCCAGCCTCATTGCCCTTCTTTGGACATGCTCCAGCAACTCCATGTCATTCTCATAGTGAGAGGCCCAATACAGAATACAATACTCCAGGTGTGGCCTCATCAGTGTCAAGTACAGGGGCATGATCACTTCCCTACTCCTGTTGGCCACAATATTCCTGATACGAGTCAGGATGCCACTGGCCTTCTTGGCCACCTGGGCACACTGCTGGCTCATGTTCAGTCAGCTGTCAACCAGCACCCCAAGGTCCTTCTCCACCGGGCAGCTTTCCAGCCACTCCTCCCCAGGCCTGTAGTGTTGCATGGGGTTGTTGTGAACCAAGTGCAGGACCCAGAATTTGACCTTGTTGAACCTCATACAGTTGGCCCATCAATCCAGCCTGTCCAGATCCCTCTGCAGAGCCTTCCTACTCTCAAGCAGATCGACACTCCCGTCCGGCTTGGTGTCATCTGCAAACTTGCTGAGGGAACACTCAATGTCCTTATCCAGATCATTGATAAAAATATTAAACAAAATATTTATGCATGTTACGCAATGAATCAGTCTTATTAGGTAGTCTGCTCCAAAAAACAGCTTAGCTACTCTATTATACTAAAACCTGTCAGAGTTATTTTCCTTCTTCTTAGTCCCTCTACAGTATCTCAAAATGAATTTGCAGTATTTTAAATTTAGCGGGACCAAGCAAAAAAATCTGCAGCCTTGGATTTCTCAACTTCCTGCCTCATACATGGAGACAGCTGAAGTATTTTCCTTCCTGCAGAGTTTTTTTCATGGACTTAAGCCATGTATTTGTTTTTTTTCTAGGAAAGCTAGAAGTTGGAGCACAACCACTAAATGTTTTTCCTCCCGATACATGACTTGTAGGCTTTAAGAAAAAGGACTCCAAAGGTGTCTCATTTTCTTGAAGAAGCTAAACCATCTCACAGCTTTGAAAATAATGAAATCTGAAGAAGCTTTAGTTGTTAAAATGGCTTCTTCTAATTCTGCTCAGTAGTTGCACAATTTTTCCAAATATTTTGTAAATAGGCAGTTTTAAGTACGGTTCTGCTGCTGTACTTCTCACAGGGAAAGAATAAATTATCATCTCCTAAGTGGAAATATTGAGACTTCTGGAATAACTGCACAATGACTGAGTGGTTTCTGTGTATATCTAGCAAGTTTCTGTCTAGTTTACAGAGCTGGTATTTCCATGTAATTTGTAGATAGAAGAATGGGGAAAAATGATAGTTGGACTTTCACTTTTTTCTTTTATCACATGCTGGCTGTTTTTCAGAATTTCCACTAGTGTGTGACAGCTAACTACAGAAAGATGTCCTGCAAAATAATTTAGAAATTTCTACGTAAACTTTTCTGTTTGTCTACCAAAGTAGAACTCAAATTAGAAGAAATAACTACTGAAAAGTCATCAGGAAAAAGGTTCTGCATATTTTAAGATGAAATCAGCTCAGTACTCTTGCTGTTTGAAATGAGAGAGAAGTCTTTCATTTATAAAATGTTATACTGTGATGCAGAAACCCAATTATAATATACTTGAAGTATGCACCAGTTATTGATTTCTGAGCCATCTTTGTATGTGAAATAGAAATCTCCACAAATAAATATCTAGAATTTTCACCTATCAGCCTTGGCTGGTGTACTCTGCTGCCAGCCAGGTTAATCATAGTTTCATAGGTGTAAGTGTGTCTCCGGAAGACTCTTCAGAAAAATGTTTTTTATTATTTGCCCTCCTCCCAAGATATGGGGTAGCAGTTTTAACCTGTCTTACTATTGATTACTACAATTGGTAATATGCTAAGTAGGGGCAGCTATGTATAAATAAACTGGACTATGCTTTTGTAACATACTTTGATAGAGAAATTTTCACAGTATACACACGCTGCATATTAGATGTAATGTAATATGAAAGTGGAGACACACTTTAGACTACTTTTGGGTACTATAATAAATATTTTGCTATTTCACTCAAAAAAGGTACTTTATATTTTTGAAAAAAAAGGGGAAAAAACCCACCCCAACACAAAACCCTAAATGAATACAGCAAGTAGTGTTAATTCCATATTCCCATGTAGCAATTCCGGGCATAAATTTATTTGTGATGAGGAATTTATGAGCAAAAGGATTAGTGGTCACCTAACATCTGTAAGCATGTAAAATATGCTATGTTTGGATCACCAAAGTGCAATCTAATGTGAGGTAATTTAAATGATCTCACAAATATTTGAATGCAACTTTCATTGCATTCTATTGTTCATCTACTTTCAGATGTGTACTGTTAGCCTGATGTGGACACATGACAATTTCACATATATAACTGCTTTCAAATCTATCTTAATTTTGGTCATTGTAGGTTTAATGTAAAAGGATGTCTAAGAAATTAAGGGTCACTTCATTAACTGCTCCTTTTCCTTTCTTTTTTCTTTATTCTACATCATATAATAAAGATAAAAACAACTTTCTCTATTTCCATTATCAAAAAGTGAATAGAGAAGAAAAAGCAATTATTTGCAAAATGTAAATTCCTTATGATAGTTTGACTGGCTTTAATTAAACCAGTCTACCACACTGTGCTCATAAGACAGACTTTGGAATAAGCTCTTATTTGTTAGGGAACACCATACTGCTCATTGATGAAAGACTTCAAAAGTTGTAACTTATTTAGAAGCATAGAATTTATGTTTTCTTTGAAAGGCAAGACATACATAAAAAAATCCCTCTTTTTTTGAACTTAAGTTTAAGAAAAAGTGAACAGTTGAAATATAAACAGGTTTACACTGTCAGTGTAATAAATTCCATAGTATTTTGCATGCATATAATGCAGTATCTGATTACTGTATAGTTTTTAAAGTTAGCTCATCATTGTGGTGCTTCCATAACATGACTTTAATGAGTATTTAGATGAATGTATTGAGTAACCTAGAATTTATAAGTCTTACAAACATTGTGACAACAACTTGGAGGCACACCTGAAAAGGGATTCTGGAAACCTAATTTCGGTTTCTGTCTGCTGAACAACACTCATCTTTACATAATTTTGTTTTATGAACCTGTATTTTATATCCAGGCTTTATGTGATCTGTTCAAATAGTGCATTGAACCTATGCCCATCTAAAAGATACAGCCTGTGCCTACTCAGACATTTCTTTTCAAACTGGTGATAGACAGGTAGAAATCGTTACCTTTGTCTTCTGACATTTTCATAGTGATCTTGCTTAATTTTATTTTTTTTTTTCTTTTTTACTGCATCATCCCTACAAGGTGGGGTGTTGCCATGATCAGTGAGTTTTCTAGGGTGAGTGATACCTAATAGTAGTTTGGAATTTGATACTAAGGCTGGTAGGTCTGTCCTAGCCATTTCCTGCCTAAGGATCCTGTATAAAGCAGTTAAACCCAGCCTGCCCTTACATCTTTTCCTCTCACTTCTTCCCATTACTTTTTCTTTTAGTTTTGGTGGCCCTGTGAGACTCTACCTTTAGACCCCTACTGTGCCTTTGGCATAATCCTCTGCTGCCTGATGGCTGGAGTTCTACCCGGGAACGTGTCTCCTGCTGCTCTGACAGAGTCTCTGCTCCAAGTAACATTATTGCATTTATTCTCCTCTCTAGTAAATCTCTTGCTTGAAGCAAGGGCAGGCATGGGGTGAGGGGAAAAGAGAAGCCCCTGAAGCCTGTCACACCCCAGGTATAGTAGGAGGGTTTATATTGAACAAGGATTTCTGTCCCAGTGTCTCTAAGGGACTGAAGTGTAAAGCATTCCTGTGAAGTCTGTTGTACCCATGAGAGAAAAAATACTTCACGTTGCAAAGTAAGCAATAAATGTATCAGCTTGCTATTTCTGCTGCGTCATAGCAGTATGTTTTATATATATCTATAAAGCATTTAATTCAATGAATAATGCTTCTGTCTCTCAAAATATTTCTCTAGAAGTCCTCTTTGGCCTTGTATGTACAAATGAAGACCTTAGTAAGCAAAAAATTTCATTGACAGGTATAATTCCATGCAGATTATAGATTAGGTAGTGATTAAAAAAGTCTCCTTGAAAATAAAACTGTTATTAACATCTTAAAAATTGATTAAAAAAATTTTGTATTTGCCATTCACCTCAGTGTTTCTATGTAATAGTCACCAAAATCTTGCCAATCTTTATTTTCTTTCTCTCTTGGTGAATACTGTGTGATGACTGGAGAAATTATAAGCAAGTGTAATACAGTGTCTGAAGTGACAAAGGATCACTGACAGAGAACATAGAAATTTTGCCTTTAGGCAGATTAATTCTGGGACTTTGAGAAGTACATTCCCTGTTCTGTCTATGCGGTTTATCCTCTTCAGCATTGGCCTTCGGTATTAGGCATAGACAATAACTGTAGAGCCACTGGCATGTAGGCGGAAGGTGGAGAAGGTGAGATGGAAATACTTTTCGTACTCATGTCTGTGAGGTACAATGTCTTAAATACCTTCTCAGAAACTCAGATGCACAAGTGTTAGTTCTGTGTACAGGCATGAAAGGATTTTTTTTTTTTTTAAAGAATAATTACAAGATCGGGAAAATGCAATGACAAAAGGGAGAAGGGAAGTCAGACAGAGAGGTACATTATAGGGGTGTGGTCAGTAGAGGGATAAAAGGCTGACAAATATCAACTGAGATAGATATTAAAGGGATGATTAAAAGAAAACTTTATTAAGCTATATTAACAAAATGAGAACAAGAGAGAAGCAGGACAATTATTATGCTTAGCAGTGAAAGATAACGTAGATGTGATGCAGAAATGAAATTAAAACTTTGCCTTAGTTTTAAACAAAGGCGGTAATGTTGTACACGGGAGGAAAAAGGTGGAAGTGTCTGAGATAAAAGCAAAGCTTGAAGTCTGATGTTTCTAAGTCAAGGATGAGAAGATAAGCATCATCACAGAATTCTGAGTGATATATAACAAAGTATCCCAAGTCTTCTTGTAAATAAAACTGTTAGGGCAAAAATGGTGCCAATTTGATGGACAATAGCAAAAAAAGTATTTATATTTAAGTAGTGGGGAAGATGGAAAAGAGGGGATAAAGGTCTAAAAGTGTCACCTTATTTTTTATCAAACTGTAGAACAGAATTTATATGAAAAAATTGAGTTGCTGACATAAAGGAAGAAGGAAGACAGGATAAAATGGAAATTGAAAATGGCTTTACTGAAAGGGGTTCATACAAACCAATCTGATACTTGCCTTGAAAAGATAACCAATTTCCTAGATAAAGAAAATTTAGTAATCTCTCTGGACTTCAGCAAGCAGTTGATATTGTGCCACCTGGGAAATTATTTGTGCACCTGTGGAAGATGGGGATTTCTAGAGGAATTACAAAATATGTAAGAAATTCACTAAAAATGAGACTAAGGTAGTGTTGCAAGGTAAGCATTGTAAATAGAGGGAAAGTTGCTCACTGAAGTCAAACATCAGTCTGAAGACTGAGTTTGCTTTATATATGAATCTTTGTGCACAGAAAGCGAATGTAATAAAGAAACTTGATTATGAAACAAATACAATAAACATCATGAGTTTGGGTGAGGATTAGACCATACTAGATGAAAGACTAGACAACTTTTTAGACTGTAGCAATTAAAGTAAAACTTAACAACTCAAAATACAATTGTGAGAACAAGGCTATAAGTTCTAAATTCAGTTGTAATTTCAGATTATGGAAATCATCAGATGGAAGCAGTAGAAAAAGAGGAGGATTTAATGAATTAGGCAGAGTTCTTATGAGCACCAGTGTGACACAGGCAAATTTGTTTGTGCAACATAAGGCTGCATCAAGTTGTGTGCTGCTGTGAGAGAAACAGACATATTCATGTCATTCAAGAAGTCAATTATGAGACTTCATCTGAAAAATCATTGCATTATTCTGGTCAACCATTTTCAGGAAAAATTAAGCTTACATTTAGAGATCCAGAAAGAGCTGTTTAATAACCATGGAATATAGTTAGCTGTGTGAGAGACAGCTAGCAAGGCTTTGCTTATTCAGACTTAAGGTTCTGAGAGACATGCTGTGGCAGGCTGAAATTGGATGGTAGAAGCTGTTACTGTCCTCAAAGCATTTACTTGGACCTCCTTTGAACCACTTTGTAAACCACTGCCTGGTATATTAAGGTAAACCAAAACTGGAATTCTTTTACTTTAATACACCCAGCTGGGGACTGCAATAATACATGAGCTCATTCATAGGCATATCATATAACCCTGCCGTAAAGCCTTTAATGTCCATCAGAAGGGTGGAGCAGATGGATGAGGGTGGTAACTATTCCTGCCATCTGGTTTTAAGCCACTGCTATATGTACTTCAGAGTCTTAAGAATGTAAGTGGTGAGAGGTTTGATTGCTCTTCATAAACATATTGGCTATAAATACAAGCAAACATTATTAAAGAACAATGATGATATAGTAGCAAGCAATGTAACACTATACATTTAGAAACTGAAAAAAAGATTTCAACCCTCTGGAAGTATGAGGTGATGTAAAAATATCTTACTAGTTCTGAGATGGAATTTAATCAGTTTAGAAAAAGAATTATACAGATATTTTCCTTCCAGTAAGTTCCTGTACTCCTAAGAAAAGGGAAAAAAATAAAAAAAGCAACGACAACAAAATGTGGGCCAGGCTTTTCATGCCTTGGTTTCTTAATGATGAATTAAACTACTAGTACCATTATCTACACCAAGATCAAGCTACGTTCTGTAAGCCGTTTAAAGAGCAGCACAAACCTCTCGGTGTGAGGTCTGCAGCATCAGAGGCATCTAATGATGTCAGTACTTGCTGTTCTGTTATTCTGTGAGCCTTTTTTTTTCTTGACATGGCAATATTACTCAGTTTTCAAGAAAGTTCGGTATTGCTGGCTTAACATTGTAACAAATAACTTAAATAGGTAGCATTCTTATAATTATAGTGCTTCTTACAAGGTTGTATTAATGCAGTAGTTCAACAGGGAAAGATGACAGAATCTGAATCAATATATTATGGAAGTAATATGCAAACCATATGGAAGTTTGCATTATGGAGACTTTTTAGGTAGATTAATCCTATGTTATTCCACGCAATGCCTTCAAAAAACTATTAGCAAGTTATATTTCTGAATGTTGTCTACCTGAAATAAGTCAATGCACATGTATTGAAAATAGAACAATAACATCATTATACTGGATTTTAATGAAGACAGTTCTGTGCTTCAGGAACTGCAAGGCATTGTAGTAAATAGCACTAAATGTGCAAAATTTTATTATTACAGTGCTTGTGTGAAAGTGTATGAGAGTTACATGGGATATTTTACATTTTAATTTTTGTGTTTAATTTACATCATATTGGGTTTTTTTAGGAAGAACTGATTGCTAAATAGTTCAGTATACGTGATTTTTTTTTGCATTCTAAGATATAAATTCTTTAGTTGGTGGGGATGAATGAATTAATTTCAGGGTGATGGCATGGACATAGTCTTTCCATTTCTAACCACTGTCTTTGTGAGTCAGCAACCCTCTGGTGCTTAGCATAAAGAGTAGTCAATACATCACCATATTACTGCAAAGTGTGACTATGAATAGAACTTAATCCTAATATCCTAATAATAGGAACAGGTGGGATTCGCCAGAGGCCTAAAGGTTCAAAATCTGTTCACAGGCATAATGTGAGCAGGAAATCAATAAACCAGAGAGTTGTAAAGATAATGAATGATACATGTTTATTTTATCAATGTTATGCTTGTAATGATGGGTTGTAAATGGTAATTTGTTTATTTATCTGATTTTGTTACGAAGCAGAAAGCTTAGTTTTGATGGACTTGATTTACCTTTTACCTAACACGCAGGCATCAGCAATAGCCATAATGATGTTGCAAAACTAGACTCAGCTGATGCAAAATAGTTAAGAATATGACCAACTGAATTTAAGTGACATTAAATAAGAATACAGTCATGTTAAACTGTATACTAATTCTAGGTACGTTACGTTTATAAGTTGATTTCTTTAATAACTTTTACTTTTAAACTTTCATCATCAAGATTATTAATAGGTTTTCTTATAGTAAATTAGACTGTACCTATTCCAGAAATTCTAATGACTAAAATCTGTGCATCAATTTGTGGTCACATGTAGCAGTCCTCATTCATTTCTTGAGACAAACTTTTCATAGTTTCAGTTTGCCTGTTTTTTTACCCTACATATGGCCTTTAATGATTAAAAAATATTGTACAAACAGTACAACATAAAGATATTGAATATTTTATTTACTGATTCATTTTCTTTTGTTTGTTTAAGAGAATTAGTATTCCTTATTCAACATGTATATTCTAAGGTAATATATTCAATACACATCCTGCTGTTCCCCATATCCTATTTTAATTTCTGTCACAAACTGAAAATGAAGTTGTGTGTGTAAAAGAAGTTTTAAAAATAGGTTAAAAGCATCTTGTGAAATGTAACAGGAAAACTATGGAGATATATTTTTGTCTGGCATTTGCTGTAGTGGGCAAAAATTAGCATGTTGTGCCTTTCAGTTCCGTTTAAGACACATTGAATGTTGCAGAAACTTGTAATGTCTCGAATTTTTAGTAATACACACACATCAATCAGATCAATATATAATGTATACTGCAATCATAACATATTTATAGACACAGATTTAGTGCTAAGAATCAAGTGAGATGAGTGGCAAAAAAAGTCAGTGATAAGGTGCTTGCAGAAGTTAATCATTCTGGGTTTGTAGCAGTATGTTGTGGCTGTGATCATCTATACTCTGTTAAAGTGTGGCTTTTCATTTATTTAATGAAAAATAATTACACATAATAACAAATATATATCACTGATACTAAAAGTTCATTTCCCAATGGCAATGAATATATAAGTAAAGGAAAAAGAAGAAACAGATAAAATACTCATGAATAAATTTTGGGTTGTTTTTATAATAATTTTTATATACTGCAGCAGTGAAATTCTGGAACAGATTTCCCATTGAAATATTCATGCAAGAAAATTGTAACCTAGCAAGTAAATACATGAGATTATGCCTATGATACACAGAAACTGGTCTCAATATGTAGCAAGAAACTTCCACGCCTGTATTTCAGTATTATGGACTGGGTTAGTGGAGAACTGCAAGCAGCTTGCTTGTAAAAACTGAGTTAGTGACTCTCATTTCTTCATTTAACTCTTTGGTGTATGTGCATTTTCATGCTGGGAAATGGCAGGAGGAACAAGACAGTAATATAAATTTCCTGGAAATTAGCAAGATTCTTCAACTGCCATAGAAAAGTGAGGAAAACAGAAGCTCATTTCACAGAAATTTAGAGAAGGGAAAAAGAGAATTTTCTAATTTTTTCATCAGTTAATATGTATGGATGCATCTACATTAATGATACAGAGCACAGGAAGGGTATTTTTGGGTGTGAATTTCACTCAAGTCATGCTGGACATATTCTAGTGCATCACTGATCCTTTTGAGCCATTGTCTTTGGGGTGTCATGTGGTGCATAGCATTTGCAATGAAGATGCAAGGTCCTCCACCAGTTTGCTCTCTATGCCTGCATAGTGTATGCTTAAGATTGGAAGTGGTACAAACTTTGTTGCTCGTTGAGATCCGATGTAAAGAGGCACAGCAAATTGCATGGTCATCCTTCCCTTTTTATATTACCTCAGCAGATACTATAGACACACACACCGAGACCACCTTGAATATTTGAATTTGTGAAGATATAATGTATTGCATTTTTGATATAAAGATTCAACACAGTGTCTACTATGCGTCAGGTAGTTGGTTTTGCTTGTTTTATCTTTTCTTTTGCATTGAATTAGGATTTGATTTGTTAACTGAAAAACAGCACGAGTATCTGTCATAGAAGAGATCTCTAATTATATAAAAAATCTGCTACATTTATGAACCTTTTTGACCTCAGAAATATCTTATGATTGCACCCATTGCTCACAATTGTGTTTGTATCTTGGAGAAAGATGTTTAAAATACACGTTACCTCATCCCTGTTGATTGTGTAATGGACAAGTCCTGCTATTCCAGTGTACGTGCTCTCCTTAAAGTTAGCAAAGTTTATTTTCATATGAATTTTAACAACTCTTGAAGTTAACAACTTTGAGATACTCAATGTACTGAAATGATATGTAGAGAGACAGATCAATCAAGATAGATATTTATAGATGAATTACCTATATTTCTGTAATACTTTTTTGGCAATTTAGCATTTTTGCTGCTTAGTCAAGTTAAGAGAGTGGAAACTGAATAGGGAAATTTGCATATAATTGGATTGATGATGATGAAGAATTTTTACTGAGGCGTAAATATATTTCTTCTGCAACCAAAGCAGAATGTTTTGCTTGCTTGTCTCAGATGGCTTCTTGTAGGAGGATCATATTTAGATTGAGGAACAGACGTTACTTATTTGAGGACATTTGGGAGTCTTTTATGGATTATGTTCATAGAGAAAAAGCTGCTTTGTAGAGATGCTCGACATTGCTATCTTACAATTCTGTAATTTGGTTTTAACTTTGCATATGTGTGATAGAAGTGATTCATTAAAATGTTGGAAAAATAAGACTTAGTAGTTAAAGATGTAAACTAAACAAATTATTAATAATACAAAAATTACTAGAAAAGTTGGAAAGACTGTCTGGTGAATGCCAACCAAATATGTTATGTAACCAACACATAATGGGTTAATGTTTTTTTGTGTGGATGACCTGTTTCTGAGTGATATTTTAAGAGCTGTTTTTGAAGAATAAATTGGACAGCAACCTTCACTGTTTATCAGTAGATGTACACTCTTTAGTGTCTTGTTTCCTTCATACGCGTATTGATAAAGTGATTCAAAGAAAGCACTTTTCCCCCTAGTTCTGCATTTTCTTTGTACCCACCTTATAGCATAATAGTTGATACTTGGCGTTCTGAATAACTCACGTGTTCACAGAATTGTTATTGTTAATTGCCCTCCAAATATGGCTTGCTTGCTCCCTTTTTCTTTGGTGGGGTCCGAGATGGGTGAGGGTAAAGAAGAGTTGCCTGTTTTCTTATAAAAATCCTATCATTTGCTTCTTTCAACTACTTGATATTATTATTGGCTTACCACACTCTTTATCCCATCACTTAATGAAAAAAATTCTGCGTCACTGATACCTGAAACTTTTACATTATTTTTCAACTGTCTGCAGTAATTATAAGTAAAAAAAGGAAGAACATATAAATCCCTACAGTTTCTCTATGATTTAAAACTATCCTGTTTCTGGATATAGTCTACTTCATTCCTTCTTTTTCTTAAACAATCTGTAACACTATTCTGTTTTCACTGCAAAGTAGCTATACTACGGAGTATGTTTGGACCTAAGGGAGAGAAGAAGAATATTTTTGCTCACTTGTAAGATCGGTGATGCAGGATTAGGTTAGCCAAACCCTACTCACATCCTGGTAAGCAGACACATATTTTTGTATTTTTTGTAGGTGGATACAGTGCAGACTACGCAGCACCCTGGCCACATTGAGGAATCATGTAAAATGAATGTATGTGCTTGTAAGTGAATTACTTCTGAAATGAAACTCCAACTCTAAGGGATGTTGGATCACAAAATACATGAACTCTCTTTACTTTCATGTTAAGAAATTGATTCCCAGGGGGCAGGGTTACTGCAGACCTAAGTGGACTTTGAAAGCAAGGCTATTTGTTAAAATAAATGAAATTGAAAGAACATGAGAAATTGTTTTAAAAAAACCCTGAAAACAAGAGACTCAGATTACATTTTGGATGCATTTGGAGAGATATTAAACAGAGTCAAGAATCCAAACCAGAAAAAGAAATGGTATGTGAGAAAGGTTTGGTAAGCAGAAATGATTGTAACTGGAGGAACAGGATCAAATACCATCTAATTTAGGAGCATGAATAGAATGAAAAAAATTGCCATTTTGTACTTTGTTCCATCTTTGAAAGGACTGAAATTTTATTAGATGATTGCTTCAATTAGTAACTGGGATATGAGTGTGAACAAGATTGACTTTTCAGTATTTGAATCAAGGAAGTATTTATGGTTTGCTGAAAAAATGAACAACCCTGATGATGCGCTAGATAAACAAAGAAAAAAATTATACCTCAGGACTGGATTTCTGGAAATCCAGATATAATCTTCGTATTTGAAAATCTTTGCACTACATAGGGACATGGGACAGAGTAGGGGAGAAGAATTAGAGGAAGCTCTGCAAGGAAACTGAGGTAGATACAGAGAAGAAACCAAAACATGCTAAATGACTCTACCAGCAATTAGGGAAATCAACAGTCACTCGCATGTATACACACACAGTTTGGTTGTTAAACACAAGTTAATTCACTTGACAAAGACTATAGTGCCAACTCCAATTTTATACATGTGAATACCAATTTTTATGATTATTTTATATGTATATTTAGATATTGCACTATATATTATCTCAGCTTATGATTTAGAGGAAGGAAAGGCTGAGTATTTTATCCTAAAAAATTTATTTGTTAATATCCTTCATCTTCATCATAAGGAACAACAAAAGAGAATATTTAAGGTATTAATAATTTTTCAGCAAGTTCTTTTTCTTATCAATAAAGCATAACTTCAGCCCATTCAAGTTTCTGATGTAAAGCTGGTATAACTGTGGGAGGAAACTATATTATGTTTGTAACTAAAGTGTATATTATCACTTGCCTTCCTTCATAATAAGGCTTTTCAAATGCCTGAACAACAATGCTGAAAAACACTTTTTCTCCTCTGATTGTTATGCATTTGTATCTGAATTAGCGCACCCTGTGTTTTTATCCCTCCAAAACTGGTAGTCTGCCACTTTTTTTCCACTTGTGGTAATTAGTTCCAAGTGGAGGAATTTATGATACAGTAGGGGCTTTGACCTCTTTATTGTACTGAGATATATTCTCAAACTTTAAAGTCTTTATGCTGCTGCTATATTGATTTTGTTTTCTGTGAACAAAATCAATGAGCAAAATTAAAATAAAAAAATCAATTCTTTCATTTCTGAATTGATTTGGGTTTTCTACATGTACTTAGTTTATTTAACCTTCATTGCTAGTCTGGAATTCATTGAAAGGAGAACACATTGAGACCTTTAGTAATTCTACGTAAAAGAAACCTGTGGAAATTAATAAAATACAGAGAAAAAGGAAATTAAAGTTGAGGCATACAGGAATGAGAAGTAAAAAGATGTAAAAGATACCAAGAAAGCTGTTGTTCTCAGTTGCGAAGCACTGTTTAGGAATATTAAAGAACCTGCAAAAATTAGTACCAACAGTTTTGTCAGAAAAATTGACATAGAGTTGGTTTCTTTTGCACTTTCTAGCCCTTTCCTTTAATTCCGATAGATGGTTGGAAATGGCATATGAAATACCTGCAATCCATTGACCGTATTTTGTAAGTTCAGAGCAGTTGCAAATCTTACCTAAAGATGTGAAAAAATGACAGAAAATATTTAACATGTAACATTTTGCAGAAATAAATGCATTATGTATGCAAATATATTTGTGAAATTTTCATCCTTTTTCTGAATATAGGCATTATCTTAGTATGAAAAAAAAAGTTTAACCTGGGAAGTGTAAAGAGAAATCTTAAGCATCTCTGGTCAGATTCTGTGTTTCAATAAAATTATTCTGCAACTGGGAATGAAATCAAAATTGTGTCCTCTGTGTTCATTGCAATTTCATTCTTACATATTTAATTTTCTGCTCAGAAGCAATTGCCAAGAGGGGATCCTTGAAAAATATTGTGCAACTATTATAATTTTCAGATTTCACAGAGTTTATCAGCAAGCGATTTGTATGGAATAAAAGCACTTTTATATTGCCTCCTGCTACAACACCAACAGGGAAAGGTCAGCAAAACAGTGGGAGACCAAATGAAGGACTTTTTCTTGTATGACAGCAACTTGCAAGACACTGGGAGTTCCAAAATTACAAGTGATGATACAGCTTTTTTAAACTATTTCTTTCCTCTTTGCCTCCTACAGCTGCTTCATTGTGGGGCAATGTGGTTTTATTCTGTCCGAATGAGGGAGAGAAAGTATATTCGTGACAAATGACAGCTTACTTTCTGTTTGCTGTTGTCCTATATGGATGAGAAAAACAAAAAAAACCCCATCCATATGCCTTTCATTATCCTACCTTTTATGAGCTTAAGTTGGAGCTCTTAAAGCGAAATCTGACATGCTGTACTCATATGAACAGGCCAAATAAACCCAGTGAGACTGCTTGTATGAGAAAAGACAACTCTTCTTTCAGTATCACTTTATTTTAGTGTCTGTTTTAGACAAGACCACTGAAGAACAAGATATGTCAGTAGCAAACTATCAGGGAAGTTGTGATACGCAACTACTTTAGGTCGTTAAAACACAACTTAGATAGATTATGTGTAGGAACGATATAGGAAGTGGCAACCAGTGGGAAAAGGAGCGGTGTGGCACAAGATCTCTTTTCTTTTCTTAAGGGTTGTAATTCTGGGGACTGTACACTCTCACAGTTTGTACAGGCACTCTCGCTGATGCCAATCGCAAATTTAAATGTAGGTGGAGAAGTAGATATGGTCTTCTCAGTA